TTATTGTTATTATTCTCATTACTACTATTATTATTGTTATTACTATTGTCATTACTACTAATATTATTGTTATTATTATTCTCATTATTACTATTATTATTGTTATTACTATTATTATTTAATTTCATCTTATATGTTTTATATGGTGGGATTTATTCTACAATCTGTAGTCCTACATTGGGAGGGAAGGAGGGATTGGGAGATTTTGTTTATTTGTACTACCATGTTTGAATATGACTCAAAATGTGGGGACATGTATGTGACTTTTATGTGTATTTTTTGGGGAAAATTCAATAAACACAATAGAAAATAAAAAATAAAGTTGTCTAACATCTTGAACTAAAGACGTTTTTTAACCCTTTTTAGGGCACTCAAATCCAGAGGGGGATTTTCTCTCCGACAGTTTTTCAGTCAAGTTTCACGAACAAACAAATGAATGTCCATTCCTGCTTAATATCATTTTACATAATTCTGACAGCACTTATCTGTTTATGAGAGATCTCAGTTTAGAGCAACTATGGAAAGCTCATGCAAATAGACAGAACACAAGCAAATCCTTATCAATGTGGGAACACAAACAAGTCGAGCCAACTTAAATATGAACGACATACAGACACACAGACCTAAAAAAAAACAACACGAATGGCCATTTTAATGCAAAGCAAAGGTTAAAAAAACACAGGAAAGGCCTGAAGTGGCAGGTGATGTGGGTTATATTCAGTTTTATGCTGGCTGTTGTTCCTAAGGTATCATAAATTAGTATTTTATGCGTTTAAATGTGTAATGTAATAGATTTTTATTTTTTGGATTTGCCTTCTGTTTATGGCTTATTTAAGTTCTAACCACCTTGTTTTTAATTCCATTCAGGACCCATCTACAAACAAACCTCGTTCATTTTAATTCCTTAAAAAACAAAGTCTTTTTTTTTCTCGCTGGACTCTGAAGCTCATCTTTGTATTTACAGTTGTTGTGGAGATATGCTGAACCATCCATGGTGTTTGTGTTTTGACTATTCTCATAGTACAGTTAAAGGAATGCACATTTTTGTTTTGATTTTTACTCAAAGTGGGATGTAAATCTGCCATGTGGAGCCAATCCAGCTCAGAACATTTTATGTAAAACAGCACAAAGTTCACGCGTTGACTGTATTTTTAACTCATCTTCCATCAATTTTGTATCAGACAGTCACACAGACTTTGTCTGATGTGGTCTGATGTCTGCCTTTCATAGAACCATCATGAAATTTTAATGATCTGAGTTGGTTTGATGGTAAAAAAAAAAACTGCCCCTTTCCCTGTTAGCAGTAGATGTTAGCTTAGCTTCTCTGTTAAAATCCACAGCCAGTTTAGCATGGACTGCTCATAAAAACAAAAGTAAGCCTGAAAACTAAAAGGAAAAAAGATCATTAGCAACATTAGCAAGTTATCTTTAATCCAATCAGCAGAAAGGCATATTCAGTCACAGCTTTATTAACCTTTTAAAGCCCGATCCAAGGAAAATAGGAAGAATATTGGATTTTTTTTTAGTCTGAAGTCTTTCTTTGGCCCCTCAACAACATATGAAGAAAAAAAAACAGAAATTATTTTGATCAAATTAGCGTGCAATAAGTCAA